CAAGGGGCCGACCCCACTGCTAAGGGGTCTCTGTTCAGAGTGTTCCCAAGGTTTTTTTTCGTTTCTTTCTCTACTGAGGAGTTACTTATGGGCTACTGGTTCATGACTGAGCACCTACTACCCGTAACACTTGATCGCGGGAATTGTCTTTAAACAGTGGACACAGATAGTAAATAATAAAAAATATGCTGGCATACTATGCGACACTTGAAAGTTCACCAGCATTATGAGACATCATAAGTTCAAGTTCAAAAAGCTATAACATCAAAAATCCAAATAAGTTTTTGTAGTCCAGTCCTGCTGATTGGATTGGATTTGGTGGTCTCATTTTTTGATCACTGAAATGACCACGAAACTTCGTGTAAGCACCATGTTGAGTGTTGCCACCTAATGAGCTCGGAGAGGAACAGTTTCGTCCACTGCGGATGACTGGGCGTGCCAGCGTGGCTTAGTCTGGCGCGGCGCCGACCCGTTTTTTTTTCTCCTACGGCATGAAACAGGGCTGTACATATCGCTCGTATCAATTGTTTCCCACCAGTTCTTATCAACTACCCTCTTCAGCAACCGGTGGAGAACGTGTGGCAGCGTGCCAAATGCGGCCGCGCTGGCACGTCCCATCACCGGCAGGGAATAAAATTGTACGTTCACAACACTGCGGTCCTTTCGTTCACCCCCAATCGACGAGCTATAGCGAAACAAGGAGAAGCACGTTATCAAACGAATCACCAGTATGAGGTCTATTGTGAATTGAAGATAAAATGCAAGCGCTCACCGATTCAATACCAAATGTGAAACTGGTATTGTTGATGACGTTAGCAGGAGTGTGTATGCGAATAGGGAAGCGCACTGGACCACTCGCAACAGGAACCATTGGTGGAGGAAAGGGAGGTTCTGCTTCAGTGTTCTCTTGTGTTGCTGCCTGTTGTGCAGCTGATTCCTCTTGATTCGGTGACACTGGAGATCCAGCAGGAGCATGTTTTCCAACTAGAACAGCCATAATGCCGTAGTGAATATGTACGAAATAAAGTCCTATTGAACTAAAAAAACTCTTCCAGCCCAAGTTTATATCGAAACTCGTACATATTGCTCGTTCTGGTGTTGAAGAAATTCCTTCCGAAGAGCTCTGAGATCCGGTCCTACTCCGCTTTTTCTTTCTACAAGCCGTGATTTAAAGACTGGCATTAGGAGGCTCAACAGTAAAATTTCAGAACTCACGACTTTCTATGCTTTGAACTCTTTTTGGAACGTTTTTTCTCAGGATCGCCATCGCTGTCCTTCTCCTTTTCACGATCAGAGCCGGTGTCGTTAGACGGAGAGCGGCGATCACGTTCGTCATTCGCACCACGATCACTACTGCGAGAACGACTGCGCGATGATTTTACCGACCTGTCATGAGACGGATATTTATTTTGACCATGAAGTTCAGTCTATATTGAAAATGTAAACAGTTTTACACATAGAAACATAATAACAAATTTATCAAAAGTACCGGGAACTGACCTGCCACTTGGAGATCGGCTGTCACTAGATGAGCGACCCCTGTCCTTTGACCGTGATCTGCTTCTATCATCATCACGTTCTGAGTGTCTCCTTTTGTGACTAAAAGAGGTTCTTCTGATATATGCCCAGAAAATCAGAAACCACGCGTAACTAAGACAACGTTAGCTTGGCACATATATATACCACTTTCACTTTAAATTCACCCTTTTTCAAACCAAATTCACCTCTTTTCAAACCGTCGCTCACTTCGTCACTCGGAACAAGAAAATCCCGGCAAAGTTTATTCCGAATGATCAGCAATACCCTAGCATGCAAGCCAAGGCTCTATACTGCCGATTTGCACCATTTTTGAAAAGTGGGCGGGGCTTCTTCAAAGTGGGCGGAGCCTCTCACAGTGGGCGGGGCTTCACGCAGCAGCCCTAAAATGCAAAAATTTTGAAAAAATATCGAAAGTCCGCGAAAAGCAAGTGGGCGTGGTCAGCCTAGATTGCCAAACCCTTTAGAGAATGGGCGGAGTCGGCCATGTGTCAATGCCCGGTCGTTTCCAGTCAAAGTGTTTGTGGGAAACAGCAAAAGCAGAAGTTATGAAACAAGATTTGAGAATCTATGTCCGCGCTGACAAGTGGGCGTGGCCGTCGGGGCGGGGCTCGCAGTGATGTCTGGCGTGATCTGGTTGATGAGTTGCCCGCCCTAATAAGTGTGGTTAATTTGATGTGAAAAGTGAGGGTGAATTTGGTTTGAAAAAGGGTGAATTTGAAGTGAAAATGGTATATATAGTGCAATGAAAAATCGCTGTGTTCTTTTCAACAGGACACTCCTTCGTACCTCAACCCAATGGGTATGGCCTCTGACAGGGGCTGCCCAGAAAGCACTGCAACTGTTAAAGGTTTAGAAGTTAGCTAATAAGCTTAATTATCTAGTGACAGTTCAGGTCCTACTAGGGTGAATGAGCATGACCAAAGCTGAAGCGAACAATATCTGGTCACTAGAACAATAATATGATAGACCAACGCGAGCGTGCGCTCGAAAGCACATATTAGTCGCAACTTACCGCTGAAAGCTTGAAATAGGAAAACAGAAGAGGAGATACGGGTCGCAAATAAACGGAAAAGGCATTGTAAACTTCAAGAATATCGCGATGTATGAAGGCCATCTGAGCCCCACATAGGGTTCCCGTGTACTGCGCGCGACAGTGTGCGTTCACGATAAAACACTACAAAGAAGCGCACTGTGGGCAGCACCCAAAATAGGAACCGGTCCCACATTTTTCTAACTGACAGGTGTTTGCCTATCTTGGAGATCTAGACCACGTGATAACAGGAAAATGCTCAAATTCAACACTTACGAATCTCGTCCTCTCGAAGACTGGTGATGCGATCTATTGCGATAAACAGGCCGTGTTCGTCCTCATACAAATAAGGGATTAGATGCAGAATTGTAAACTAAAATGACAGTTAAGACTTACTGTTTTGATTCATGCTTTGGTACTGCGCATATCGGCGAATGTCCTTGAACCAGGTTAGTTCACATCGATGACCCAATAGTTCACTGTCGCTGTACCTAGATAACAGGCCTTGTTCAATAATAACTTAAGAGCAGGTCGTTCATTGACAAAGTGAAGCTATGTCTTACTTGGCCATGGCTTCCTTTGCATCATCCCTTGTTTCGAAACGGACAGCGACGAACAGGCGCTGTTGGTCAGCACTAGTTTTTACAAAATCGAACGAAACCGGTCCGATTCTGTCCTCGAAATATTCCCTAAAGCATGAGAATATCTTCAGCGAATAACAGCGGAATTCAGTCTCTGTGCAAATTCGATGTGCTATTTCCCATGCTCTATCATCACTCACCTTATGGAGAGGGAACCTTGTCAAATCAATGAAAATTATTAAGGCGATGCTCATTGCACCTTTCCTAGTCAACAACGCAAAAGTCTATCCAAAGGTCAAACAACGAGATAGAGTAACAGATAGGGGAGTAACGTCCAACGGCAACCGTGAAAATCTCCTCCAATTAAGTGACGCTCATTAAATATCGATTATCATCAAATCAAGAGTTTTTATAGCTGGAAATATCATTCGTTACTGTCTTCGCTAATAATAACACATTTGTGGATAAGAGGATACCAGTATTATTTGAACTCTGAGAACGCTGCTAGAATTGTAACCAGGGAAGGTCAACAGCTCAGTCCGGCCATTTGTATTGAGGCGCACACCTTTGCAAGCGCCTTCAGACGGCGAACTCAAATCTGCCTATGGAATCTGCTGAAAGGTTCTCTCAACGGAGTATGGGGTTTTTCCTTACTGTTTTCAATGAAGGCAAACCGGCGTCGAAGCGCCGCTGCCTGTGGTGCGTGACGTAATGCTTTCGCGCAAAACGGACTTAATTTCCGTGTTCAGGGAGTCATATAATACCTAGAGAGACAGCACTCTAGCGAAATCTGAGGTTTTAACTTAAGTTCGAAAAAGAGAGATCAGTTTAGTAAACGCTGAATAGCAATCACCAATGACACTACTAAGTTTAGCCTATTACTAATGACTGGTCTCGCATCATTTCCTTGATAATCCGTGAGAAATTCCATCCCAAGATCAGTCATCGATGGTTAGTGAGCTAAAGGTTGTTGCAACTTACCCACGGAATACCCACTATCTTTCGAAGTTAGGCAAAATCTCAGATTTGGAGAGGAACTTGTCCTTAGGGTCAAACAGACCAGCTGTACGTGAATATCACACTAGTTCAGTACGAAAACTGTTATGAGGGCACCGCACAAGCAATACCTTGAGCCACAAGGGGTCTGCACTTTCAAAAACCGACAGCAGCTACTCTCACAGGCAAGCACAAGCGAGCAGAGATGTTAGGAGTTTTTGCCATGCTCCTAGAGTGTCCAAAAACCAGGACGCACATGGGAATCGATCCCACAACCTCTCAAAAAAGCCACCCGATCACTACCATGCGCTCTATTGCCACGTTTTGTTATCCTCTCCTCATTTATGTAATGACTCTTGCACGCTTCCGTGCGATACCATGTGAAACAGCGTGGAGGGAACCTTCCACAACTCCGTTCAGAGAATCGTGCAGCAGACTCTGAAGAAAGATGGGCTCAGCGTCCCAAGACGCTTACTTTGGTGTATGCCACTTTGCAAATGGTCCGACTCACCTGATCACCTTCCCAGGTGAAAACGATGCTAACGTATTTGGGGAAGGGGGGGGGGTGCAATGAACTTTCTCCAGATGAATGGTAAACAGGACAGTAGGACAAGGGAAACGCAAGAAGTAAGAAGACAGCTGAGGCGCAATTTATGAAAAGGCGGGATATTTTCTAAGGAATACGCTGATTCCACAGTGATTACCGCTTGCATTGCCACTGCGCGCTCTGGCGCTACCGACTGATAAAGAGTATTCAATCAAATCGCAGTAGTGGCAGCGAATGTCAGTGTCCACCCTTTCGTCTCATCATCGGTGACATCGCTCGGCACGCGCCATGGATGAGTTTTCTCGTCGCGAGGGGGGATATGGCACCTTTTCCCCTCCTTCCTCGCCGAGAAAGTGCTCCAACGAGGGTTCTTTCGAAGTAAGCTCGTCAATTCGGGTTTGGAACGTGAATGTCACACCTTTATAAGGCGGTATGCCAGTAAAATGAGGCGCGTAATGCTGCAAAGTCGAGGAAACAACTGAGCATCAGTGCATGAAGATTTTTGCTTATGCCTAGGACCGGGAAAACTTTTTGGAGACTGAACTAAACCCTTTATGCAAAGTTATACATTAAAATGCCATGGATGCTCGCAGACCTGAAAATTTGCATCACTATAATAGCGCCCTATCAAATAGGACAGATGATTGACGGTAAATGCCATGCTTTTCGACAAACATCACAGTGGGTACAAGCACTTCCACCTTTCTATTCATAGCTGATTAATTTCCCGCTCAAAATATGCTAGGAATCTTTAACGGGCTGTTTTAAACACTACCTCGGCGAGGAGGGTGTAGGAAAGCAGCCTGCCGTGTGGTCTCCCCAAATACGTTAGCACCTTGAATTCTGAGAAAGTATAAAGTGAGAACAAAACTGATACCTGATCTCATCTGTGGACATGTCACCAGGCAGACCACGAATGAATATGGTATGCTTGGACTCCGGAACTTCATCTTCATTAATGCGGTCCCTTCTCTGATGATAGTCGTAGCCACGATTTCCGTAGCCACCACCGTAGCTCATCGTTGAATTGGAAGAAATGATGCAAATCAATCCAGCTGCTTACAGTTGAAATGAAATCTGGAATGAAGGCGTTTGAAATGATTTCCACACTCCTCTTTGATACCTTCCACACGTTTCTTATCAAATAATCGCTGAACACTTTGACGTTGGCGTGTTAAAACCAGCTCACTCAACGCTCTAATTTCCAATGGGCTCTCATGTGTTACATTATTGTTGGCTTGAATACACTCCTTTTAAAAGAAACTTGTATTGCCATTAGCGTCTTGGGATGTGGCTCTGGCATGGATCCCTATGCGGCTCAGGATTTCTGCCATGAGGTTTGTCGAGAAGTCGTTTTCAGACCATTCGCACAAAAGGATACCCTTTTTTACGAGCTTTGGAGAAAGTCGGCGCAAGTCCGCTAGTGGAGAGACACTCCGTGCAACACTGAGATTGTCGTAGTGGATATGACAACCTTCGTCTAAGCAAGGGAATGGTTTTGAACTTCCCATGGAACTTTGAATGGAGACCTAGGTACATCGATAGTTTCGAATGCTGATTACGAATATGCAGATTAAAAGTGCTACGGGGACCTCCCAGACGAGTTCTGGGCGGTCAAAGTTTGCGAAAATCCGGTTTTGTCTCATAAGCGCTGATCGCTCATTCGACAGTGTACGTGTGGCTATGTGTAAGTGTTAGGCTTCAAAGCCGTAATGTGGTGGGTTTGCATCCCGTTGGCGTGAAAACTTTTGCTTCGTCTCCTAAAAGAGCTTTCACTCTAATTTTCGAAATTGCTCCGAGTTTAAGGCTCAGCAGAGCAAGTAGATCAAGTAGATTCAACGTATTGACGTAATTGATCAAGTATGGTTGATGGCTCTCTAGAATCATTACATTCGACATCGAGGTTTTCGCCAATCAATTATGGCCGGAAACCGCTCCTGGGTGTATCTGACCCCCTGAAAACGAATATCATATTCGTTCGGCGAGGAAACGACCGGTCAGTTGATGTTCAGTTGGTGATCACAGCAAAGTGAAAGGCTACAAGCGTCTTCTTGCCAAAAAGTAAATGATATTCGTTCAATGAAATGATAATCGTTTTCAGGGGGCAAAATACCTCGACGGTTCTGGCCAATTGTGAAGTGGCAGAATCTTCGAATGTGGATGGGTAAGTGAATTCAGTTGAGGAACAGATAAGCGATCAAATCCTGATGATCGATTATAAATACTGATCTATTGATCTACTTGCATTGCGGGCGTAACTCGGGGCATTTCGAAATTAGAGTGAAAGTTTTTATATGGAGAGAAGCCTAAAGTTCACGCAAAGGATCAAACACCGACATACGAGCTTGAAGCGGACCCCTACCATTGGCACGGCGACACTAGTGCGAATGAGCGATTAGCAGCGCATTATGAGACAAACCGGGATTGTTCGCAAACGATTTGACGGGCCGAACTGTCTGGGAGGTCACCGTAGCTTTAATCTGGCATATTCGTCTACAGATTCGAAACTTACGATGTGCTAGGTCTCGCATTCAACAGTTCCATGGAAGTTCCCATTCCTTGAAGCTGTAGTAATACTTTTAGTCGTCAAATAGTGTCCCCCCCCCCCGGTTCAAAACGCTGGTGGACGCGGCAAATGATGACGCAGAGTATGAACGCACTATGAGGCATTCACAATACGGTCACACCAATTTGCGCAGAAATTCCTTCCACCCCCTCCTCTGGCGAACGAAACGGACCATCCGTGTTTGAGCAATTTTTTTTCTTATCGCCACCTCACTCGATTTTAGATTCACGCATGACGATGACAGTCGAGTTTGTAGGTGACTGACAGTGAGCTTTCGCGAATTCGCTTAGCTCATCAGCTCGTTTAGACTACCAGTTTTCATTTTCAAAGCTCGTCAGTTTTCAAGTTGAAGATAAGTGTCCTCATGTTTCGGAAACTCACCCTAAAGCCTGAACTCGAAGCAACCAACCACACTACCTATTCCGTGATCAAAATTTAGCTGTTCAAGCAGTAAAGTTGGCCAGATATCTCCTGCTCATGACGTTAGCAACATTTTTAAAACTAGCAGCTTACTAGGTCCCATTAAAAGATGCAGAGATTGAGGTAATCACAAGCATATTTAAGAATTACAAGAAAAGGGATGAAGAATGAGAAAAGAATTCTATCCCAACCTACATGACGAACATTCCCGAAATCTAACCATTTATCATTGATAAATGTTTTTTTAGCACAATTCTCAGCAATTCATCCATATTTATTAATGCAGCCGCTGATCCAGCTGAGCTATTGGCTTCCATGCGATTGATTTACAAAGAGCAGAAAAACAAAACAACGCACCTTTAGAGGGATTTTCAGCGGTTTGCAAGATCCAACTAGGAAAACCACATCCAAAGCACTTCCAGAAAGGTAAAACACTAAGTCTAAAACCAGTCAATACCACCAATCCAGAACTGCAAGGCAATTGTTCAGCGCGCGAGGAGCAGCACTGCTCTGCACATCGCCTCTGCCTACCGTAATCGGACGACCTGCACACCACCGCTGCTTTCAAAGTGCCGCGCGTCGCCTCACTTATCCATCCGTGGATCGCATGAAATTCACATCCACGTTCTGCAGTTGGGGAAACTTTCCACTTCGTCCTCTGCTACGACCCCCGTCTCCATCCTGCCTACTGTCTTACCAAGTTTCCAAGCTTCCTACCATTTTTA